CTGATGATGTTGTCGAGATGACAGCGAAACGTTGTCTTTTACAACTAGTTTTCTTACTAAATTAATTGTATACCTAAAAGTTCCTTTATCAAGATGTTGAAGATATCGAAAAGACTGAAATTAGACAAGTAATTTCGACATTGTAAAAATTTCATAATTCAGTCATTGACTTGTTATTGGTGACCTTATTATGACACATGCAGCTGTCTTTCTTGATGAACGAGTTTTTTTGTATTCTGTGTTAGAATTTTTGTTTTGCAGGGTATTGCTTAGCTCCAAATTTTCTTTCCTTGGCTATTGCTTTATTGTCTTCGTGCCTCAGAAAAAAGAAGGAAAAAAAACGAATATCTTAAATAATCGATTAYTAGAAATTAAATTAAATCATATTTGAGTAAAATTTGAATTTTTGAATGATTCCTCAARCCATGAATAAAAAAAATCGTGAGGCCCATTTACACCTAAAATTTTACCAAGAGCTTCTCATCTCTAAACGCATCTCTTTGTGTCCTCTTGCCAGGCATGAAACTGAGTCTTTGATCTTCAAGTTTCCCACATCAAGGACTTCACAATTTCAAAATTTTGGCTGTTTATTTTTATAATCTCCTAGGGGGGCTTGAGAGAAAACCACCTGTCATCGTTTTATGTATGTATATAGAGTGCAAACTGGTTAAGTTGAACTCTTCTTTCAATCTTTAGACTGGATATTTAGCGTTGGTATTGACCGAAATGGAATATCTCGTGCCATCATTTGTTATACTAGGAGTTGGCGCAGCAACGATAATCTTTGCTATACTTGCGACAACCGCAAATGGTCTGCTTTTGTTCGTTATTTATAAAGATCCCAGTAGATGTCTCCGAAGACCATCAACTGGGTTTATCACAGCATTGTCCATAACAGATCTTTTAACAGGACTTGTGGCAATGCCTACATATGGTGTAGCAGTCCTGGAAGGAATGTCGGATGGGTCCTTTAAGCTTGGGCTTCGCACGGTTGCGGTGTTTTGTGGAGTCATCACCTACACTAGCGGAGTCCTTCTCGTTGTGGCTCTTGCACTGGAAAGAATACTTGCCTGTGGATTTGTCACATTTCATCGCAACCACGTTCGATTCAGAACCACCATTTTCGTTTCTTGCTTTATCTGGCTCTATAGTGTTTTCTTTTCTGTGCTGCAATTTCTCGGGATCAAGGATGACACGTACTACATTGTAGATATCTCCCTGCATCATGCAATACCACTTATGACAATGGCACTAGCATATGCTGCCCTGCGTTGGCTGATTAAAAGGCGCTACCGCATAATAATTCCTGGTCAACCAAACACAAACCAAGACCCAGAAACAACACCAAACGACWTCACAACTCGGCCAACACTACAAGTTCAAAGAGAGCGACAACTAACGATCGTAGTGATGATTACTAGTCTGTTGCTATTTTTTTCCCTTGTTCCGTACCTTGTTGTTGTTTCATTGACTACATATTGTTCTCTTTGTAATCAGAACTATCTGTATGCAGCTTTTATGGTTTCTGTTTCCATTTTCTTCCTCAACTCCGTCATCAACCCTTTCCTATACGCCTGGCGCCTGCCTCAATACAAACGATCGTTCAAGACGGTGTTCACTAACTGCTTTTTGATTGCAAGGATTCATAAGATATTTTTCCCGTAGTTCTTAATCAATTTAAAAAACTCTTGTTTGTTGTTATCGTAAAGATTTTGAAATGATGGCAACCTAAAATGTGAGTGTCTATGCTTGCTTAGACATGTGTGTAGAAGCAAGGATTCATAAGATATTTATTCAGTAGTTTTTTATCGATTAAAAAAAATTTCCCATTTATTGTTGTTGTAAAGATTTTAAAATGATGGGAACCAAAGATGGGTGTGTAGAAGCAAGTGCATGATACTCTACTAATTTGTCAATACATAGTCAATGTCGCCAAATGTTGATTCATTGTTCCGACTGAGACAATAGCGAAGAAATCACCGTTGCAGCAGTTTTCCCAATAGAATTATAAAAACTCTTGTCACAAACAACTACACAGTATCTGTCTTAAAGAGTACTACATACCCTGAGAAAACAGACGTCCTTTCGCTCCCCCTTCCCCTCGCAGGGGGACAGAATGATTTGGGGGGGGGGGGGGGTATCAGGTTTAATATAATAATCTAGTAATGATAAAAGGGTAAATTTTACACCGTGAAAAGATGAAAAAACTTACTGACGTTTCGGTGGCTAGTCCTTCGTTATTCTCATGAGAATAAAAATAATGATAATAATATTTCATTAATTATTGACATCAGTCAAATACAAACACAATTAAAAATAATATTTCAGTAATTATTGAAATCAGTCTTAAATATTTATCTGTTTACACAGGCAGACTTTGACAAGGAATTTAACAAGCCTACTGTTTATAGGATTATGATTTTAGGCCGGGCTGCCACAAGATGGGGATTTCAGGTCAGCATTAGTAGTGTATTACATAACATCATATGAGTTTGATGTCTTGAAGACAAAAAAATGGATAACTTTAAACATAGAAATAGAAATACTTATACTGTTTTAGTAAACATGGTCCCTAGTTTGTTTCTTTGTCTTTCTTTAGTGTTGTTGTTGTTGTTGTTGTTGTTGTAATATTGTTGGTTGGTTCTTTGTCCCCTCCCCGCTCCCCTTGTTTGTTGGGTGCCTGCTAATGCGTCGTCTTTCACCGTTGAGTTCAATGGGTCGGGGTCGGGTTCGCTTGTTCATGCCCTGCGGAMGCCATATGTACAGTAAATTGAGTTTGTTTGATTTGTTGTTCTCTTCCTTGCCACAAGGGTTTTTCTCCGGGTTCTCCAGTTTTCCTCCCGCCGTAAAAATCAACATGTGAGTTGAGTATTGTATGTATAAAATATTTGCACATCGTGGTAGCGCGTGTGAGTGGACTCGGAGATATTAGCAGTCTCTGCTACTCTCAAATCTGAGCATTACTAATAAGATTATTTATATATATATATATTTCTTCTGCCGGCATAGCTCAGACGATGTACAAGTCACACGAATCTCCTGATCACAACAAGTCAAAGGGTAAGAGGAATGTCTTAGCTAACGTCTTTTATGTGTACTTTCAAATAGCAATTACCATTTCACTTTGGCCTGAATTGTCTATGGGCAAATATCCATAATTCACTTGGGCTAGCAGAAGTCCATCCTCGGGAACCCAGAGGTAAAATTCTGTGGCTCGTAGCTTCTCGTTCCCTTGGATGGCAGCAGACTGACCACGTCGTCACACCTGGCTTTTTTTCCGACCAGAGGGGCTTGGGAAGGGGTTAATGTAATATTACTGCGTGCTCTTACGTTACAGCTGTAGATTATRACTGTTCTATTCTGAAGAATGTAACCATCCAAGAGGCAACATAAAGTTTTATTTGCATGCAGATATTTTATTTACAAGGATTCCATAATCACAAAATTACGTGGTCATATATGGGAATATATATGTTTTCTTCATTTTCGACGAATACGACATACTACAAACAAGAGTAATATCAGATGAATATGTAATTTTGATATCTAGATTATCTCAAATCTAAATTCTTCTTAACGAACATCGACCAGGAACCCTGCTTACATTTGTCTCGGTTGCGACGGTCGCCATCTAATAAATGTATATATTTTCTTGATTCATATTATTTTTTTATCAACTGTGCAAAAACCACAGTGAGACCGCACATCTTTAAAACACGAGGTGCCCTCCCAAGATCAACATTGTTCTTCAAATCTTCTATTTTATAGTAACGAAAACACTCCTTGCTGATGTTTAAATTCAAGGTCGCAAAAAGTAAAGTCAATTATGTTTGTGGCCTTCGCGTATAAAAAAAATATCTGTCAGGCATGTTCTGAAATAAAATAAGAATTGATTCATGCAACTCAATTATATATTTTTTCTCCTATATTTTTTAAATATGAGCAGAGGTTTGTATAGAATATACATGCAGACATCCCGGGAATTAAAGTACTTCAAAATGAATGTCTGTCTGAAAACTAAAAGTCCTATTTGTTTTCTTCGTATGATTTGAAGAAATCCTAACTGTTTATCCATTAACGCGGTGTCATGTGAGCTGCGTCTCAATGCAGTTGAGCACACATGCGGTTTGATTCCCGGGCCCGGTGTCGCATGTGATTTAAGTTCTTCTCCTGCGCTTCCAGGGTTTTTTTCAACCGGGTTCTCCGGTTTTCCTCCTTCTCGAAAAAAAATTACTAAATAAAAATTCGATCTGGCATCAAAAGCTTAAACATGAGCCTCTTGCTCATCAGACGTAATAGGCCTTTTGCAATAGATTGACACGTGATTGTTACTGCATTGCAAAATAAAAATCTAACTTCCTTAATTTAAACATTTTTTGCTGGATTACTAATGTCGTATCTGAACCTTTTCAAAAATATTTTTTCCCTTATAAGATACTTCGATTTCATATTACGAAGCAGTTTAAAGTTTGTTAGCCATCCAGCAGAACCTTTCTCAAGGGACCTTGAGCTAAATTGGTTCGTTATCAAAGTTATGTGACTGTTTGTCAAAAGGTTTATGCAACACTCATTTCACACATTTCATAAACACTCATTTAGTTTATTACAACCTTATATCAGATTCATTGTATGATAAGTCATGGGTATTTAATCTCGAAATTGTAGAAAGACTTGCTGCTTGCTGGGGTGTAGATTTACTGCCCAGTATGCGTTTGTACAGGCCTCTTGATCTTTTGTTCAAGGCAAAAGCCAAGGCAATGTAAACACCTTGCAGGCCGTTCAGAATGACGAAAGGGTACCATAAGAACTGCCAACCAAACGGAGCAACAAATCCAAAGATCCACGTGAAGCCCATCAGTGATGCGATACGTACGTAGATACCAAAGTTCTTTTTGGTGTTATTGTCTAAGGCTGCTCCTGCTTGTGCTGTCGTGGTTTTTATAGCTCTAAATGTCATGGAACAAAACATGATGTTGAATACGAGAAATATGAAGACTGGAACAGCAAAGAAATACAAGATGGCCCATTTATTGGCCATCCAGCATGCTATCCTGGACTTGTATCCAATATTCACAGTATCTGTGAAGTCAAGACCAACACAAATGCCCACATAGACCAGAGCGGGAAGCCATCCGACTGCCACATGGCGAAGGATCTTTACATATTTCTTACGTTTAGAGTCAGAAAATGCGTTATTTTCTACAGAAAAAGCCCTCCAAGTGTCAAAGGCGATGATTGACGTCCACACAAAAGAGACAAGGAAGAGGTAATGTAGAATGACAGCGATGACAGTACATGGTATGGTTGTGTCTGTCTGTCCACTTCCAAGTAACCACAACAGTTGTGCCAGCAGAATAGAAACACTGAGGTTCATCAGGTTGATTCCTGGTGGTGTTCGTAGCTCACTGAACAAGGAATAAGTCACGAGGACAAACACCAGGCCGATGATAGACAAGGACATGCAGACTATGGTTATGGTGGTCAATACTGCATCGTCTTTTGGTACGACTTTGGATTGGTAATAGATTGTAGAAAAGTTTTCACAGACCAGCACACTCTTGTTTATCCATGTGTATTCTGACAAATCATAAACTTGTTTGGAAGCGTTCACGAATATGGACTTGTTCATCAGGACTCTGAACTCTCCTTCATTAATCAGTATATACACCCCTGAACAGATAGATATCTGGTGATGACGGCACACAAATATAGCTTGGCTGTCATTGGCTGAAGTTGATGYTTCAGTTGTATTGAGGTAGTAATCTGTAGACTGGAAGACTTCACCTGTCTTTTTGATGACGACTGCTGACGAATCATCTTGTAGTACCGTGTACTCACTCCTGTCATACTTCTGCCGATTAGCACAACTTAGTATTCGTTTAGTTGCTTTGATAACGGTTCTTAAGAGTCCATGGATGGTGGTGTTGAATGGGGTTGTGAATTCTAAAATATTCTGCGCATTTGGCTGAAGGCGTTCGTTTTTCCGAACTTGGAGGGTGAAAGAAATATTTTGAAATACGTATATATTTTGTACATGCTGAATGGGAACAGCTAGTGCTTGTGAAAGGACTCGACGATAAAAGTCATCTTCTTCAAATTTTGAGATACCTGGTTCCAGCCACAGGACAACTTGGTATTCGTAAACATCTGAAAAGCTTGGCAAGGTTGGTAAAGCATCTCTACAGATATCCAGGTAATGATCATATACTTGTTCAGAAGGACATCGTGTTTTGATTTGCATCGAATCGAGTCCTCTGGAATTGGCATTATTGAAGTCAAAGATGACAGACAAAGAATTGGGAAGATGAGATGTTTCCCCCGGAAGCTTAATTCCGTATGCAGAAGCTGTAATGTTTGGACCACAAGATATTTCGTTCAAATTATCCAGGTCAGATTTTGCACAGTCAATATTTTTATAAAAGTAGCGTCTGGTCACTATTCCTGGTTTGCCTGTCAAACATTTAGCAAGGGTCATTTTTATATCGATATCTAATGTTGAGACGCTGTTAGCTGCACTTACAGGACTTACAATAATAAGACAATATCTTCTTGGATCATCTCCTTTCCTTGGTGACCAATGTATGTCTGAACAATAGTCAAAAAGATAGGATAGTGTGCTTTCAAAGCTCAGATGGCGTGGAGGGGTAAAATCGCATTCAATGGACAAGGCATATTCAGTCAWDTBHYTWGRARMAACWCCRTTACAYTSAGCACAGAWACGATTRTGGTACACTCTGCCATTGTTGGTGTACACAGGAAGATAGCGGTAGTTATCTTTAGTAATCTCGTCGGTTTCTGAAATATTCCTGCACCGATAGAGGACATCATCTTCTGGCCAAGAACTTGGACACRATCCAATCATCCAGGCGCCAATGCTTCCTGGCACGACATCTCCATGGTAACATTTCCACAGATCTCTGTTTTGCTGGTTGACCAGATTTTCTGCTAAGCTTGTATTGTGTCCTGTGCTGTTTGTCATGTTTAGTCCATTTGTACCACAAAAGTCATGGTAGTCTGCACAGCAGTCTAAAAAGAATTCACAATCKTCGTCACAAAAGCACGACAACTGTGTTTGGTATAAACCTTTACGAGGATTTTGACATCTGTTTCTACATGAAAGCTCCTCTTCACAGACCAGGGTGGTTTCTGGTGTCTGAGATGTCCTTCTTTGCCTGGAAGATCGCGCTTTTTTAGTTTCCAATATTTTTTTATCTTTTTTCATATTTTTTGATTTGGGATGGCTTACACCGTTTTCGTTATCTGGATAATCTTCAATATTTTCAAAGATATTCGATTTACTGTTCAAAGTCGTCTTGCTTTTCGTTGCCCAAAGGTCAACATACCGTGGAAGAAACGCCTTGTCTTTTGGATGCCCTTCGTCTCTTAAATTTCTGATGTCGGTGAGTCCTTTATATTCAGCGCCTGCTTCAAAGAACTCTCCTTGAACTTCTCTCGAATTCTTACTAACATCTTGATTCTCCAGCGTTGRCTCCATTGTCGTTTTCTTTAGTTGTTCGTTGGCAAAAAAAGTATTCGTTCCTTCATTGATTTTTTCATCAGTTTGATGAATGTGTAAGAGAAATRCCAAAAGGAGACCAGCAAGTCGAATGCCTTGCATCCTAGACTTTGAAGCAATTCCTTCCTCTGTACGTTGCTTCTGTACCCCAGAGTCCTCTATTCGATATGAAAGAGTATAAAACTTCAGATAAAGTTTGTCTGTTTTATAGAGAATCTCATACCATTGAAATTCGCTGAGTTTCTTCATGGCTCTTCCTGTCAATGGTCGGACTTCGCGTGAATCCTTTTAAGCTTTTAAAGCTTTTCCTCTTAAGAACGTTTTTTCCTCTAACACATGCTGGGTCGTGAAGGCGACTGTGTTTCTGGAGTCCCACTTTGTCTAAAGCGAACATACCCCACAAAGATGCGATACATCGACTAAAAAACAAAGTTACATGCACTTACGAGAAAGCCATATTCACTATCTGTTTGGGAATAGAACCCTGACTAGGAATAGGACTTGACGATGGTCAGAATCCCAAGACGCAAAGTGTTAAGACCTTAAGTCTGGGTTTTTGTTGGATTTGATGCTGTGTAAATAATGAATGCACTATTGCAATACGTTTTCTCGATTTTCACGCGGATAGAACTATTATTGCAGTATAGCGTTTCACTTTATAAAATTTCCTTTTAGTTTCTTGTAAGGCAAACTGTTGCCCATCAACATGCAAATCCTTATAAAATTTGTAAACTTTGAACTTAAATCACTTTCTTYGTATTTACTGAATTCATTTCAGACTTTCGACTCGTACTAACTCCTGGTATTTCAAATCATTGTACTTTTGTTGGTCTATCCACAAATTTTCAGCCTCTAATTGAGTTTGCTGACTAAACTTTGGTCAATATAAATATGTTTTCACGATTCATAACTAATAAAAGTCACCTTTACAGTTCCCTCCCTGCGCTCTCTTTCAAGGTAGCCGTGCCTGTGCACCAATACGACTATTTTAAAGGAATTTAAAGATCGGTTCGAAACTATGTGGATAGTTTTTCATGCCCAAAAGCCTTTAACTTTCATTAGGTTTTTGGATGCATGTTTCCCATTCATAAGAAAAGTCGCTATAAAACAATAGTCCCCTTCACAGTTCCCTGCGCCATCTTGAAAGGTAGCCGTGCCTTTGCATCGAAGCGAGACCAACGGTGAGCTTGCAATGATAAAGACCTTTTTTTAACACCTTGGACAATTATTCACATGTCTCTATCATTGCAAGCTCACCGTTCGTCTCGCTTCGATGCAAAGGCACGGCTACCTTTCAAGATGGCACAGGGAACTGTGAAAGGGACTATTTAAAGATCAGCTTAAAGCGGTGAATAAACTAAACTAATAACTTGTTGCTGCATATTAAATATTGTTTTTCATAGAATACTATAGTAAAACATGCACATTCAAGTTCTTGTTGCCGCTCTGCCGTGCTTCGAGAGGTTCTCTCCGGATTTCCTCCCTCCCCGAAATTAAAAGCTTTTCAAATTCCTATTAGGTTCAGTCGACGAAGARCCACTCTGTGGAGTTAATTTGAAATCCTGGTTTCAAACGTAGAGTGGAACTTTTGGTGGTAAAATTCTGATAGAAATTGTGGGAGAGTTTCCGTTTTTTTTGTCATAGTATTGGCAAGACCAACGAGAAGGGAAAATGCTAATATATCGAGCACCCTTCCGAGTTGTTTTTTTATTCTTGCGATACATCCTTGTCCTTCTTTGCATTTTTTGGAAACGAGGTTGCGTATTATAAAGCAAAGCATGGCCCCGTTTTGCATACATAAATATGTCTCTTTATTTCTTCTTACTTTTCAGCATGGCCGTTAATGCAGTATTGAATAAGACAACAATTTCGAAATAGGAATAAACACATGTACCCCGCCACTTCCTAGCCTCTTATTCAGCTGGCTTAGCATCTCACCCTTTGTGTGTGAGTGTGGCATATATAGATTGCATTGCTCTATCCTTTCTTTAAGCAAGGCAAAATAAAAAATTAAATCTATTCAGACTCTATATCAAAAAGAAAGTCGGTTTTTCTTCAAAGTAGAACCTGATAAAGTAGGCGTTATGTTAGAACAATATTTCACCAATCTCTTACATAAGAGTGACTTAACTTGCCTCAGATTTACACTGTCTTCTCGTGTTTTATATAAAGTGTCCTTTTATTTCTAATTTCTCTTTCAAATACAAGTATTATGCGATCACAATAAATATACTTCTACACGTTTCTTTCCAACGCTTGAAGTACATAACGAGTAATGATAACTTTTAAATCATATTCATTTACAATGACTAGTTTGATTCACCACAGCAAGAAGAGCAGAAAAATCCTAAATAGCCATTTCTTAATTTGCACTAAGAATAATTAAAGTCGCTAAATTATAATAGTAATAATTTATTAACTTATATTACGCACTTATCAATCTAAAATTTTAAGCTGCGCATTACATTATTTAATATTAATAATAATAATCTATTAATTTATATTGCGCTTTTTGGCATATAATGATCAAGATGTCACTACTTAAAAATTCATCAACAAAACTTATCCATATTATGTATAACTTGGCTGTATAGGGATATTTCATAAAGCCTTCACTTTTAACAAAATATACTACAAATCAACATAATACCAATGAAAACATAGACAAACAGTCTCTTCCCTTGAGTAAAAAACTCCTCGGGAGACGAGAGATGTGGGCATGGGGCAAGCCTAATGGAAGCACTAAACTAATAATACTCTAGATATTTATCAACTATGAAAAGGCCAAAGTGAGACGCAATGTTATGACGTCCCTTATAAAGATCTTCCTTTTACAGTTTGTTACTTTTTTTTCTGTTCAAAGTTTTTCAGTGTTTTTTTTCAGCCTCTTTTGGTGGCTGTTTAACCTATTTTAGAGTTTTGTATCGGCGCTGTTTTCGTTATATTCTGTTACACCTATATTTGTATTTGAGACAGAGGTATTTGATGTTTCATTCGGTGGAGAGCGACCTTTAAACCATCTTTTACAGAGGCCTCTTGCTCTTTTATTCAAGGCAAAAGCCAAGGCAATGTACACACCCTGCAGGCCGTTCAGAATGACGAAAGGGTACCACAAGAACTGCCAGCCAAACGGAGCAACAAATCCAAAGATCCACATGAAGCCCATAATCGATGAGATGCAAACGTAGATACCAAAGTTCATTTTGATTTCATGATCGGGAGCTGCTCTTGCTTGTGCTGTCGTGACTTTGATAGCTCTAAATGTCATGACGCAAAACATGATGTTGAATACGAGAAACACGAAGACTGGGACAGCAAAGAAATACAAGATGGCCCATTTATTGGCCATCCAGCATGCTATCCTGGACGTGTATCCAATGGTCACAGTATCTGTGAAGTCAAGACCAACACAAATGCCCACATAGACCAGAGCGRGAAGCCATCCGACTGCGACGTGGCGAAGGACCTTTATGCATTTCTCACGGTTAGAATCACGAAATGCGTTATTTTCTGCAGAAAAAGCACTCCAAGTGTCAAAGGCGATGATTGACGTCCACACAAAAGAGACAAGGAAGAGGTAATGTAGAAGGATCGCGATGACAGTACAAGCCATGGGTGTGTCTGTCTGTCCACTTCCAAGTAACCACAACAGTTGTGCCAGCAGAATAGAAACACTGAGGTTCATCAGGTTGATTCCTGGTGGTGTTCGTA